CTACACAATATATCGTCATTATCTGACACGAGTCTCTGTGTTAACACCACTGCAATTGACTCCGAAGTCAATGAGAAAGGACTCAATAATAGTGTGAGTCAACCATGGTGAGAGAGAGGAAAAAAGTGTTAGTTAGAAAGAGTAAAAAGAATCAGTGAAACAAGAGGAGGAAACAAAGGAGAAAAAGATAGCCTGAGAGGAAGAAAGACTGAGTCAGAGAGGGAGAGAAAGAAAAGAAAATGTTATACACTTCATTTACGATATCATGATGAATATACTTAAAATTAGCACCCACTGGTCAACTGCTACTAAACTGATGCAGTGCTGGTGTGTCAATTGTACATTTTCCAAATGTACCTTGGTCTTACAAGCAGTCTTCCTACAGGCTCCTCTTGAAATAGGCGTTGTAAAAGGCGGTTCATGCAGCGTCAGTCATAAAATGTGCCCTACTTGGAACCAATCAAATTACTTAGTTTCATGCACTACTTGTTTTGCAACACTCAGACTACTTTAGAAACTCAACTTACTCAGTGTGTTGACACTACTGCAGTAGTCAGGTCAGTGCAGAACATGCCGTTAAAGACAGGAATGGATCCAATTATTTGCGTGGGCGCAATCTGCGCATGCGCAGTACTGACTAAATTGTACTTCAATTTATAATGTTCATAACTCAAACAAAAATGTAAAAAAACAGTTCAAACATGAATAAATGCTTGTTTAGCCACACATTTCATTTCAGGTTACTCTGTTGAGTCTACAAGGAATAAACAATATTAATAATAAATGTAAAAAGTACATGTACTTTGCAATAATGTTTACAAAGAACTTTGTAGCCTATTTTCATCTCTAAAAATAATTTGACAGGAATGTCATTCTACAGATAACGAAAACAAATTTTATACAGCAATAATAGTTTTTACTGACCTGGAAATATACTGGTGTCACATTAAGTAGTGCCAAGGGAAATAAAGAGTTGATAATATATCTAGTCTTGGGGAAATGTTATCTGTTTAACAGAGATAAGAAGTTAAAAATAAACCTTTCATTGCAAATGCCATACACGTGGAGCTAGATATTTCTGTGGCCCAAAATTTCTGCTAATTATGCAGATTTCAAAAACTGTGAAAATTTAATCCTTTAAAATCAGTACACATTGAAAGGCATGGTGATTTTGCTAAAATAAAATCTGCAAAATTCACAGAAATTTTGGGCAACAGTAATTTCTAGCTACAATTAAAGCAATTTCTAGGTACAATTCTAAACATGAGTAGCATGATAAAATAAATCATTTCATGAATAATTATTCTATGAAGTACCAACATCTCCAAATATAGCATCCAGAGTTTCATCCACCACCATGAAAAATACTGATAGCTTTTCGTGACATTCTAATTATCATAAAAATAGCATACATGTAAATTCAAAACTACAAAACTAACAGCTTTAATAGTCAGAAGTACTGTAAAAGTGGAATATGTCATTGCTTGCATTATTTAATGCATGAATAAAAAATTTACAAATTTAAAAACTATACTGACTTAAAAACTAATTATAGACCACTGGAAGTGAGAATTGGAAATGAATTTCATTAATTTTATACACGGTATCTGCCCACATGTCATAAT